ACAAGAAATAGTAGAAAAATCTTAAAAAGAGGGAGGAGGCTCAAAAGAATAGTTTAAGATTAAGTTGGCGTCGCCGTCCGTCCACAACCTAAATGGCACCCGAAAATACCCGAGGACAGAGCCGCAGCGCAGTATCGCATGGGGTTATATTAGTTAGTAAAAGCTGAGCCAGCGCAATCTTCAGGCCCCCTTCCTTAAGAGGAGATAAGAAGTGAGAGGCTGGAGCGGAAGGTACAGTTTATTCTGTACAGAGGGAATGGAGAATAGATAGGAAGCAGTTGACTGTCGGACGAGGATAGCTCTAGACCGGAGCCGGGCATTGTCCGAAATCGTGAGAAGGTAGGCAGTCATCGCAGTGAGGCAATTTGGCAGTGATTGGCTAGACTCGGGGGAGGCAACGCAGTGCACGTCTTACGTCGCACCAGCCACCTTCGTGACTCTGTCGTGACAATATGTGCAGGTATGAGTGGGAAGAGAGAGTGCAGTACATTCCGTGGAAGTCTACTTTCAATACAAATTGCGCCCTACCTACCCCATCTACATCCACCTTGCTGTGAGCCACACGATGGGTAGAGTCAGAAACGACTGGTGAACTGTGTTTGTGTGTGAGCTCGACCACCAAGTGTACAAACAGGTTGGTGCACAAAGTGACAAGCCTCAGGGGGTTGATTATAGTGATAGCGGACGTAGTTGGTGCCAACCGCACAAATCATCTTCTCCCGTAGTCTCGAAGACTAAACGGTGTCCGGCGTGGGCTGCTGTATCAAATGCAAGCCAATACACCGCCTAACTTAGTCTAAAGTGACAGTAGACTTTGCGCGAGTACTACCACACTACCTACACTCACTTACCTTCAGTAGGTGCCAAGACAGACTCAAGGAGGCCGAGACTGATACGGCTACTACTATTTTTGCTTCTACTAACTAGCACTGTAGCTGAGAGTTATTGTAATGTAACTTCAATAGAAACAGTCCAATAATAGGAGCCACGTTACGACTCACCTATGGGATAAGCTTGCTATTGCGTGTGCCTATGACGACCAAGTGGAGCTAACCGGCTTGGTAACGTTGCAGTCAAGGTGCCCCTCGAGAAAAGCCCAAAAATATCTTGCAAGTGCTGTCCATATTAATCGTATCGAAAATCAATATCCGGGACTATTTGGTGGTGAGAGGGTATTTTGAAAAAATCAGTAAAAATATGTATAAATCGAAAACAAGGTTAATTGTATTTGTCATTCGTTAGAATGCAAACGGTTTGCTGTCCTTAACTTGACGGTAGATTATATGTTTGGTATTTTTAATCCATTTCGAGTTTTAATATGGATACAGTTTGCCCTTTTAAAGTCACTTGACAAAAGGAAAACAAAAGGGTTTTGCAAATCCCGCCTAGTAAAATCACGTGTTTCAGCTTGCAAACAAAGGCAGTCGCGCGATGAACCAAAATCAGAACACCGCTGAAGTCGCACATCATGAGGGCCCCTTGGTGATGACCAGTCGACTGACTGCCGGGGATGCGGACCACATAGAACTATCCGTGGATCTTGACGTGGGCCTTTTCTTGCGAAAATGGCTAAGCAAAATCGGTGATGCAGAAATGGAAAATTTGGACATACCACGGAACAAGCGGAGCTCCCTGCGACGTTCTATTCGTGAACACATAACTGAGTCAAACAAGCGGCACGAATGCACTGTCGGTAGGAGTTTTAATAATTTTAACATTAAATATCATTTGAAGAAGACGTTCTTTGGGATAAAAAGTAACTTTAATGAGTGAATTTTCGAGTTTGGCGCCCCAAGTCGCCTTCTAACAGGAAAAGTGCAATGAATAATTTATGCACCCAGCTAGTACAGCCTAAGGATAGAGTCAGCTACTTCAATAAAAAAGAAGCAATCTACAAAATCCCATGCGGAGGTTGTTATACTGCATATTGTGGCCAAACAGGAAAATCCGTTTCCACAAGCACCAATTGGCCGTGAAGAGACGGGACCATTTGTCCGAAGTGGCTATGTGTTGCCTTGACACAGGACACACCTTTGCATGGGATAAAACACGCATCGTCGGAGTTTGCCCCTCCAAAAATGGCAGAGACTTCCTCGAAGCCGTACACTCCGACGATTCATGCATCAACCGGCACGTCGAGTTGGATGGTATTTATTAGCACTTCAAAGAACGACGGAAAAGACAGAGACTGCACGACAGAGACTAACTGATGTCACACCTACCAATCACACCTCACCCAATATAACTATTGATTTTTTGCGGCAGTTTTGAAATTTTACTTGTTCATAGCACTTCTCCTGTAAGTACGAAGACGCGTTGGGGCGTCAAACTCGAAAATTCACTCATTTAAGTTACCTTTTATCACAAAAACATCTTCTCCAAATTAAAATTTTTTGGGATGCGTGTGTTCCAGTTTGTACGAGTTTAATATCATGAGAGAGGGAGAGAGACTTGTGTGTCGGACCTTAAAACACATTAAGGGAAAGTTGTCAAAACGTCTGTACAAAGAAGGATACAGTACAGTACAAAGTACGGCACAGTATAATATGTGGGAGATGAGCTATTCGCTCCGGTTGGCGGAACGTTCACCTGCTGTGAAACTACAGAGGTCGTCTGGTGTTTTAGCAATCTAGGTTCCCCCTAAAGACTTCTAGAGAAGCGGCAATAACAAAATCCAGGGGCAGGACATTCCAAGCTTCGAGCACTCTATTACAAAAGAAGAACTTTCGTATGTCCAGCTTGGCCCATATGCACCGTCGATACTGACGGCTGGCCGTGCCTGGCTGAGTTCACCATGTCTACTTATCGACACAGTAATGATTGTTGATAGTTTATTGATAAAAAAGTGGATTACAAAAAATGGTACAGTAAATATTGTTTGTTCAGGGCCTGTTCTCCACCACATGCATCTCCAACTTATCTTGCGGACGTTCTGAAGACTCGACACTATGGTTTGCTGTTTCGAGGCACTTGTAAACATGATCCACATGGCCATCTTCATAGAAACTAATAACCGAAAGCACTTTATTTCGGTAAATGCTCTTTATATATATCTTATTTTAAAGGCTTTAATGCAAACGTCGAACAGAAGCGTAATTAATCAATGAGCACACTGAAAACGAAGAAAATGATGTCAGAATTTATTCGACGATATTCAATAAATAGCTATCCACTAACGGCAATCTGTACGAAAAATGAATTAAAAAAGTTATTTTTATATAAAGAAAGTGGTTACGTAAACTTTTTAAGATAAATAAAATATTTAAAAATTGTCCTAAATTATAGCTATTTTTTACGTCTCCGGAACATAGGGGATTGTCGGGAAAACTTTTTTTCTTAACAAACACCTGGCATTTCTTACACTTCTTTTAAGTTTTAAATAGGCCCAATGCTGTTCATTATTTATAAGTTTTTTTAAATGCATTCACACTGGTATTGGAGTAATTATCGAACTTTTACAAAGTTATGAAAGTTGCACGGTTTTAAGCGAATACTGTATGGTCTCACTCAAAAAGGAGAATCAAGGACGTCTGTAGTACGGGAACGGTAGGTATAAGAATTTCATGGGTGGGGCAAAAAGAAGCTTTTTCCGGCATACGCCATGAAACAGAAACGCCAAAATTACAGTGATGCTATTAGCTTGTTTACTTACATCAACCCAAGTGTGTGCTCGCCTGAGTCATTTAAAAAGATGAACAAACGGAATCGGTTGACACACAGCCGAAAAACCTAAATAGATGCGAATAAAAATCAAGCACCGATGACTGGGAAAAGAAAAAATGGTAACAGAACATATAAAGGCCACATGCAAAATCTGAAAAACAAAACAAGGAAGAGAATCACTTAAGAGACAGTGAACGCAAGTTATTAGTCAGCATCGAAGTCGTTATGCGTGTCGTCAGGAACTGACCGCGTTCAATCCCACGACACGTGGCATTACTGTGACTTGATCGTCGGCATTGGTCCCTTATGCGTGTTTTCGTGGTCAAATCTTAATCCTGAAGGCTAATATTCAAACCATAACCCTAACTTTTATCCTTAAACCTAATCATAAAACCATTATCTTAACCCCTGAACCTTAAAGTAAAATTCTAGTCCTAATCTCGAAACCCCTAACCGTTAGCTTAACCGCCTAACCCTTTATACTAAGCTTAAAAGCCTGTACAAAAAATGAATCAATCCCAACTGTAACCCTAAAATCCAGCCCCAATCCTAACCTTACAGGTTCAAACCTTTCCACTTACCGTAATCTTAAAATGCTCTACCTACCTTATCCAGTAATACCACCTTTACAATGCCGCTAACTCTTACGAAACATACCTACCTATTAAATCATTATTACCATCATCCCCTTATTAAAACCGGCCTTGCCTCCCGTTTTCCCAGTAGAGTCATATATCTGAAAATGGCAGAATCTGCCGAGGGAGAAACTGCTTAAGCCTACAATCTTAGAAATGCTGGAAGAAAAAGTTATCCTGACGATCTTACCAAATATCTATCCAAGATTATCACTATTTCATTATGTTCTTCAGTCTTAAACACCCTTTCCCCTTACCTCACCAGCGGTATTCGAATTTCCGATAAAAACTCTTCCGATAATTAATTTGAATTGTTCAGCAAAAAGAATTAGAAATTTAGCTGTATACGTTTTAACTCGATCTGTTTGTTTTTCCTGTCTGCAAGTAGAAGTTCCCGAGATGCCCCTGCGGCGACGGTCCTCACGGGTTTCACTCAACTTAGCAAGAGGGCTTCATCAGAATGATGAAGACTTCCGTCGTTCGAGAGATACCCTTTCCGGCAACCAAACTCGACGGGGTTCGGAGTGCCTGCGACCCTGGACCTCGATGCCAGATGAGGAGGCTCCGCTACTACCGGGCGACTTCAGCAACGATAGTACGCTGTTTTCCAACCTCATACATCACGTGAGCGATGGTACAGCCGAGGTCCTTGTTCAGTCCG